TTTTAGCCCTCTTTTAAGTCAAAATTTCCAAAAATTCGTCAATTTTTCGTGAAGGGGGGGGGGGTCCTCCGCCACTGTTCCTGCCACCTTTATTGGCAATCGGACACTATCAATCTAGACTTCAATTTTATTTTGATGTCAAAGAATATGTTACTTCACTAAATATTTTCATAGCCAACCACTTCTCCTGTTTTAATTAGAACTTCATACAGGCCCCCTGGGAAAGGGCCTGCCTTGTGCAACCTCTCAGCAACCCTGTACACAGAATATACCTTGACTCACCTGGTAACCTTTCCCTCATATCTTTTTCAAGAGTATTCTCATATCTTAACTATTTTACTATAACATAATATAAAGCCATAGGAATGAAAGTATTAGAATAGAGAGGTTAAGATACCCCGGTTCCGGTTTACGGGTACGAGTATCGCCATTTTGTTTACCAATTTTTGCTGATGTCAGCAATTTTACCCGTAATTTCTACCCGTTTCCCCGCGGTAAACCAAGGTCTACACGTAAACGACAAACGGGTACGGGTGTTTACTGTTTACTATTTTTGGGCCGTTTAAATAGTACAATTTTTTAACATCTTACCTAAATAAATAATGCACATATGCTGGTCAAAGTATTCAACAATTTATGGCGAACCTCAACAGCGAAAGTTGCCATTCTCTGATCGGTTTTCTCACGCCGGAGTATCTTGGATTTCTTAAGTTACAAATTATTTCCCGATTTACGGGTACGGGTACGTGTATATCACCCGTACCCGTGAACCGGAATCGGGGTATCTTAACCTCTCTAATACCGTCCACCGCCCGCACACAAATTTTCATTATTTATAAAATTTCATTTATTTATTTATTTACTGAAAGATTCGCGTATTTTAACATTGTTTGTTTATTAAGAGGCGGTTTTAATATCTATCTGAATATAAACACAAGACACGCATCTAAAGACGTTGTTGGAAAAACCATTCAGTGACACTTACAATTACATGCACGTTGAAAGGGAGTTAGACTTGCCACAAGTCGGCCTCGAACGAAACGCGAGCAGCGAGCGTCTGTAGTCTGTATTTTCTGCAAGTTCCTATGAAATTTCATGCATCATCCGCCAAGACGAACTACGCGTGACTTTATTGCGGGAGGCACCTTTAAAATCGCACTTTAAATTTATACACCAAAAAATATGTTCTAAACAAAATTGCTAAATAATGAATAATGAAAAAAATACGCATTACTTTTCAAGTATTTTCGGACGGTATTCTAATACTTTCATTCCTATGGCCTAACCGATAATGGGTCCCATATTAACCAGGGTTCGTACAAAACTTGAATGTCCTTGAATTTGAAAACAAAAATTCAAGGCCTTGAATGTCCTTGAATTTGTAAAGAAGTACTTGAATGAATGTCCTTGAATTCTTCTTGCTTTAGTTTTTGGATATTTTCTGAAATTGTTTGACATTCAAGACGGACATTTTGTTGGACTGATTTTGCATTTCATATCTGACCTCATTATAAAGTTACGTTTTGAACAATTCAACGTCAGATTTTGCTGATTTCTAACACCTTCTTCAGTATTTAGTATTTAGTCCTTGAATTTGCTGATACACGGCCTTGAATGTCCTTGAAAAGTCCTTGAATTTAACTCTTCCTGACCTGTACGAACCCTGATTAACCCAGTAATTACCCAGAATCAGCATGCCGTACTTAAAATGATATTGTTGTCAACATGCTCTTTTTAGCTGTAGTATAGCATTATCATTGGCCAAAGTTCGGGAGAATGTTCTTATAATCTCAACAGACCCTGCACATAACATCTCAGATGCTTTTAATCAGAAATTTGGCAAAACTCCAACAGCAGTTAAACAGTGCCCAAATTTGTTTGCAATGGTAAGTTGGGGGATCCTCACAAAGTCTGTAAAATCCTACTGCATATACAGCCATCAGAATTAGAGGCAGCAAACGGCAATTGCCACGTGGGATTGGGAAACTTCAGCGGTGGCAATTTTTGGTCTCGTCCTTACGTTGTATAATGTTAATGTTTTCCAGCTGAAGTGTACTTTATAAAAACATTTGCACCACTGATAAAAAGCATCGCCCACATGAACATCAAACTCACTGGTAAATTGATAATTAAACGAGACTTACAGGTCTGTAAGTTGAAGTTTGATTGTAATTCTGTCTTGTCAGTTGTCACCAGTCCGGTGTTCCAGAAATTTCGCCCCCCCAATTTCGCCCCCAGCCGAGGGGGGCAAAATTCCGAGTAATATTCGCCCTCCCTGGGGGCGAAATTCCTAGGAAACTCGGGCGAAAGGGCGAATCTCCTTGGGGGGGGGGGGAAGTCCTGTGACACCGGAACGAAGGAGTTGGAAGACATGCTTAATGAAAATCGTTTTTTGGAGGTCACAGCAAACGGCCTAATACTCTAAAATGCAAAAGTCATAATCCATTGACAACTTCTTTTTGAGCTATTATGTTTGGGAAGAGAACTATTTGTTCTTTATAATTTCATAACTGGCAGATATTGCACAATTTCACCTTCCCCAACACCCCCCGTTCTTTATGCTAATTTTTTTGGAGCTATTAAAAGGGACATGCCATTGCATTATAGTGTGTGGCTAGTTAATATATACAGTAGTTGTTGAACATTAATGTTAAGTCATCAGCACTGAAGTTTCAAAAGTGACACAGACCTAAAACAGACACCTCTCTAAAACAGACACTTTGCTCTGTTCCTGTGGTATCCTGCCATATATATGGGCATTATAAACAGATTCAACTGTATCTAAAATTTGCGCATATATTATATAATTTATATAGTTGCTGTTTTCTCATAATTAGACTCTCACATGATTGTATTTATTGCATGGCAGGAAATTGATCCAAATGTTGGCTTCTCTCAATTACCAGATGACTTTGTTGATGAACCAGGTTTGGCTCAATACATATTTAATTAAATGTAAACTTCATTACTTCAACTTAGCTGTGACAAAATGAAACAGACAGGCAGACATGTATACTGTGGAAATACGAAAACTTAACGTGTAAAATTTTGTATAAAGTGTTGTTTAACTTTACAGTTTGAGAGCATCCTATTGTGTTTTATCACAGATGCCGTTAGCTTAGGGAAACGTCTTGCTCAAGATGTTCTTGGAGCATTTCCTGGTATTGATGAGGCCATGAGTTTTGCTGAAGTTATGAGGTACTACTATACAAATGTTTATTTAATGTTATATTAGCGAACCTGAGCAAGGCTTAATCAAGTACGGGGACGTGCCTTAAATTTTACTCTTTTATAATTGGAAAGAACTACTTTAAGAACGTCAACAAGCAAGACAAAAGTGCAACGAGGACGGCTATTAATATCATATTAAAGCCAAAAAATTGAGCAGAAATTAAGAATTAAAATCCCACGGACTTTTTTAGATGTCGCTGTTGCTCTGTTTACAACGGCAAAGTTGCAAACATATCAGGCTGGGACAACTACTGCTTTAAATTGGGTCTTAGAACTTTCTCAATCATAAATCCTGTGTTAACGTTGATCCTTAAACTGTATTATTTTTCATACGATAGATAATTGACGACAGGTTCTCTTCTGCAATCATTTGGTTGAACGAGTTTGTTTGCCGTCGCGTTAAGGTTTCCGTCCTACATGCTTAAGGTCGCTATTAATTGTATAATGCGGTTGGTTATTTACCTGTGGTTTGTTGAAAATACTTTCTGCATGAAGAAAAACTATCAGCGTATACAAATTACATATATTTAATGTAATGTTTTTGCAAACATGTTGTACACATTGTAGATTAAAAAGTAGTTGTCGTGAATATTACATGCAGTCTCTGATGCTTTCGGGTTGTATATATTGACTTGCAGTAAATATATTTTCATTGCAGACTGGTGAAACACATGGACTTTTCTGTTGTAGTTTTTGATACTGCTCCAACAGGACACACTTTAAGGTTGCTGTCATTCCCATCACTGATAGAAAACTCTCTGGGAAAACTTCTTCAAATTAAGAACCAGTTCATCCCAATAATAAACCAAGTAAGTGTATTATAACTATTATAATAATTATTGGAAGAGGTTAAGCGTGATATCGAGGACTATCAAGACCGAACATGAAGGTGCGTGTGCTTAGTACCGGAGACATACGCCAGTGTTACGGCCTGGTACTTATTTTTCTTCAACCAAGTACCACGTAGCTGACGTACTGGATAGGTATAGGCGGGACTCTTGCTATCTGCGTATACTGACTTTTTGCTGGTACCATATAACCTTTCGAAGATATTCAAAACTGTGATTTATTTGGTATGATAGAACTAATGTCACTAAAGAATGTTGGAGTCAATTTTTGTACTGTATATGCAATTGTGCTTCTTGTTCTAACTCGTAGTTTGAATATACTCTTCAAAAACCTGTACCTTATATGTATACTGTCTTAATCATAAAGACTAAATACACCTTGAGTCTCACGTTTGTACCAGCGCAAGTACGCGCCAATAATCATCGGCGTACCAGTCAGGTACAACTAAACATTTTGAATTTTTGCACCCTGCGAGCTTGTATGATCGGCTGAGGCATATAATTCTTGATATCACGCGAAAACCGAATTCAACACTTATTTTATTAATCTTATTTTTTTTTTCTTTCTTACGTATACATCGCACTCATCAGAAAAACCAAAGTTGTTTTAGTAAAATAGTTTTAAGATTGCACCAAGGAGCTGTCTTGAGGTTCGCTTATCTTTTTCTCTTCAAGACACTTGTTAAAATTTCTTACCGCTGTCTTTGTAGCGTGATTATAGTGTTTTGTAAATCGTAAACGAAGCGAATTCTCGCCATAGTTTTATTTTTTCTTCGTGTATAAATGAGCTGGCGTTGTGATTATTCACTACAGATCATGCATAAAACATTTTCCGTGTTGATATACATGCAGTTATATCAACACGAGTGGAAATTGGGAAAACGAGAAATTGTGTGGAAACACGACGCCCGAAAGAGCGGAGTGTTTTCACACAATTTCGAGTTTTCCCATATCGAGTTTTCCCATGTATATCAATACGGAAAAAAGTTTTATATTTGTTTTATAATATAGCACAAAGAAATATAAAGAAAGAAATTTTCCGACGTTTCCGTGTTGACATTGAGTTATGTCAACACGGCTCTTAGCCAATCAGCGTTCAGAATTTACAAATGCTATATTATAAATCTACATGTAAAAACTATTAGGGATTTTAAGCTTAACGTTTCCGAGCAACGGCAAACGGCAGGTCCGAATTTTCTTGGCAAAATTTTCGTTGAGCTTTTTCGTTTCATATTTCCTTTCATGTGTCGAAAGAATAAATATGCATTGCGGTTTTGAAATTACGAATTCATGTACTCTTTATTGCCTGATACCGTAAAATTTGTCTTGGCGTTTGCCGTTTGACGTTAGCCTGTGTACAGCCGTTACTCTCGACGAAGCGCGGGAGAGAACTTTGTGAGTTGGATGCATAATCCTTGTTCAGGTCACGTGGATAGTTCCCAGGTTTGGGGACAGGCCTCTGAACAGTGCTTGATTTGAATAATTTATGACAAATGAAGCTATTTCATTGGTTAATTGATAATTAGTAGAGATGTGCCGGATACTGTTTTGTCGGATACCGGATAGTAGTCTACCGGATACCGGTCAGGAGAAAATGATGACCGGATACCACATAATAACCGGATACCGGATAATAACCAGATACTCCCATACAATAATTTATTAGAAACACAACATTTTTATAGCTTAATTAACTAGTCCAACGTGGCAATGTGTTTAATACAATAACTTCAAGAGTTTTTTGTCTCCCTGACCTATTTGTCTTTACCAAGGCCATATCTTATGATTCACCTTACATTGTTTACTGGTATTCAGTATATAAAATTCGTCGTAATGCTGCGCACGCTCAGTAATTGTTCGTGTTTCACAATTTTTAAACGTCAAGTAAACTTTTCCGTTTCATGATTGTAACAAAATATCTTACAGTACTATCCGGTAAATATCCGGCAAATTTATACCGGATAGTGCCGGATGTCTAAATTTTACCGGTATCCGGATCCGGCACATCCCGAATAATTAGCATGCGTTTAAAATAACAACACAAAAATTTTAAATTCAGAGATTTCCAGATCAAGAATCAAGATTTCCTTCGGGGCATACAAAAATTTGAAAGACTTGAAATACAATCTGTTGAGTTTAATTTTGTGCTGTATCGAAGTTTAAGAAAATCAAGATAAAATTCTAGTGTTTGAACACTCAGCGAACAATGCTGACAAATATATAAAATACAACAAACTATCGGACGGAAATTGACAATTCTGTTTATAAAGCATTTTCTTTACATGTAATGTGTTTAACTTCGTCTTACTTGGCCAGTTAACTTTTAATCACTTTAAAATGCACCTTTTGAATAACCAGTTGTGTTTATATTTAATACTTTGTTTTTGTAAACAAATATACGCCATATGTACGCCAAGAACTGAGCTTGTACACCGGACTTGCCGGCAATGATCATCGTTCAGCATTATTCGCATTCAAAACAAATCTCTTCATCGAGAAATATATACAATATATTTCTCGTTTTTCAGATTGTATTTCAAGTCTTTCAAACTTTTGTATTCCCCGAAGGAAATCTTGTTTCTTGATCTGGAAATATCTGAATTTAAAATTTTTGTGTTATTTTAAACACATGCTAATTATCAATTAACCAATGAAATAGCTTCATTTGTCATAAATTATTCAAATAAGCACTGTCCAATCAGAGGCCTGTCCCCAAATCTGGGAACTATCCACGTGACCTGAACAAGGATTATGCATCCAACTCACAGACGTTCTCTCCCGCGCTTCGTCGAGATTAACGGCTGTACACCATAGATATCTTATATACACTAGATAGTGCATCTAATTATTCTGCAATTCAAAAATTGAAGCCGTGATTGCAGTCTCAGGTCGTTCCCATGAAATGAGAAGATTCGTATGTTTTCTATTTCTTAAACAGGGAACTTAAACATCAAGTTAACCCTATTCCAAATACGTTTTTAAACTATTCAAATGATGAAAGTTATTGTTGTTTTTAAGCGTTTATTAGCAAGTGGGAACGACCAACATGGCCGCCATCTATTCAAATGGGGGTAACCGCTGGAATATTCTTGGCTTCAATTTTACTAAAAGAGATGCGCTATATCTAGTGTATATAAGATATCTATGCTGTACACAGGCTATTTGACATACGAACGCGAAGCTTAAACTCTCTAATATCTGCAAGTGTAACGTCGTAATTGCGCAATATCAAGAATTAGTTGTAGCTAGACCAGTCAATCAAAATGGATATTACATAGCCTACGTATCTAATTATATTGCTTGTAGGTAAATTAATTAATTTGACTTTTTGTGGCAAGACGACAGTTAGGATTACTATTTTGTGATATATATATAATATCAATGTTCCATTACAATTATTATTCTTTAGATCTTTACAAAATGCAATTTGTAATTTGTTTAGTTTAGTGGCTTGCTGGGTATGGATGATGCTGATCCGAGTATGGTAACGAACAAATTGGAAGAGAGCATGCCAGTCATTAAAGAAGTTAGCGCAAAGCTGAAGGATGCGGTAATTTTCCTGTTTCTTGTATATATTCCATGTTGATTGGACTAAAATTTTTAACATGATTGGGTAATTATTAACATGGATGTTATTCCATCTCTATGTTCTCCATGTAGGACGTTATCTACGTTTCTACGTAATAGCAATAATACAACTCAGAATTTTAGTCAGTAAGAATACAAGCATGTGCCATGCACACCACGATCAAGCATCGAACAGTGAAATACGCATCACAAATTTCGATTATATCAACAGTAGTTTTTGTGATTCCAATTTCTTGATTACGATTTATGGTAACAAACCTAAAAGGCTAGAACAAAGATGACAACATATACCTGGAATTTACTTTGCCGTGGACATGCAGGTTTAAAAGATAAAGAAACCATTTTAAGTCTGACTATAGGTACTTAAATGCGAAAACATATAGGAAAACGGGGAAAAAACGCAGTGCAGTGAACGTTACTGTATTCATTGTATTCGTGACATCACGAATTTCAAGTAGGTCACATCAGCTGTTTCCTATCCATGGCCAATGCAATGGACAAAATGATTTAAGGAGAAAGAACTCAAGATAATTCTAAACTCTTAAATACTCGACTTCCTACAGTGAATGAAAGCGTCACTGTCATCTTTTTATTACCTGGCCTTCAGTGATAGCTCATCTCTTTAATCAAGGTTCCATGCACCGCACAAAATGAAAGTTCCCTCCTCTCCCCCCCCCCCCCCCAGCCTTAAATGTATCAGCATAAGTTCTAAACAAATGAGTCCTTGATAATCTTTCTAGCACTAATTAGACATGTGATTACACGATTTCAGTACACTTTGTGGTTACCAACGAATTGGCTTGTTGATTGGTGAATGAATGAGTCTGACCGCACCACATTTAACATGTTAATTGTGTTTTTGGTAATTTTGTAGGAGGTTAAAGTCATTCTTTTAAGCATGAGTGTCCCCACTCGTCACACACTCAGAATTAAGCAAACTTCCATAGGTCTAATTTAGTGCTAGGTGTGATTATCAGGAACTCGCTTGTTTAGATTTTATGCTGATATATTTAAGGGGAAACTTTCTTTTTGTGCGGTATTTATTATAGAAGTAAAATCAGCAAAATTGTATTTTCCTTTTACGAAAGTTTCGCCAAAAACGTTAATTTACTATATGGAACAAATAATTTCACTGGCCCGCTGCAAATCATACTTCGAGTTGTTTGTTGTTACTCATTTCACCCTTGTTACTTATTTTACCAGGAACATACGACGTTCGTTTGTGTTTGTATATCGGAGTTCCTATCTTTGTACGAGACTGAGAGACTAGTTCAAGAATTATCCAAGTCAGATATAGACACACATAATATCATCGTAAATCAACTTATATATCCAGATACTAATAAGAAAGGTTGGTAAAGTGCCTGACTTATGGTTTTTACACGTAATGATCAGATGCTACTAGAACCAGCTTTACGAAGTAGATTTGTAGTGTAACAGTAGATCGAATTTGGTAGAAAGAACCTCATTATGGGGCTTCGGTTACGCCAGAGCACAAGCATTTCACCTCGGAGATCGTGGGTTCGATCCACGCTAGCTGTGGTGCTGCGGACATGTGAATACCCTGCATGTTATACGCTGATTTCAGACACAGAATAGGAACATTATAGAAGGTCGACTTCTTGGTTTTGCGGACTTTTGCCTACATGTTCCTGGCCAGTGCCCTTATGAAAAACATTCACCCCCTGAAAATATTCAAAATGGTGGATGTTCAGAGGCGAATGTCTTTCATAAGCTCACTGGCTAGGAACGTGGCTTGTGCATTTTGGTGATTAGTCAACTTTCTGTAAGGTTCCTATTCTGTGTTTCAGATGTATTTTAATAATATTTGAATACATAAAAAATACGTGGAAAACGTCATCTGACAGCATCACCAACTGAAAATATTCGTGATTAACATCAAATACCACCTAAAATTGGCCCGACAAATCGCAGCGTGCAAAGGTACGTTTGTGATTTGTCCTACAATACGATTCGTATTCTGGCGTATGAAAATCACTGCTGACGACACAATTGCTCTTCTTTACGTTTATGGCGAAATTTGAAATGCAACCACTTTACCTGTGCTTGTTCGATTACATACGCCAAAATACAATCACGACAAATCACAGCGTTTTAACGTACCTTAAGTCTGGGCCTAACACAAGTCTTGATTCGGTCGCTTTCCACCCACACTTTTGTTTTATATTTAGTATCGAATCAAAATGCACCAGGAGAAATGTAAATTTCATATCACAACAATCTAATAATAGTGACAATCACTAAATATATCAACCAATTAATTGTTACATTAACCAACCAAAACGATACATCAAATATGGCGTGATACTCATGCTACAAATAGCCAATCAGAGCTACAACATACAGGCGGTTGTAGGACACGAACGTCTAAAAACATTACATTACATTACATTACATTATTCAACCGTCGGGGGTTTTCAGGGACCGATTACATCAAGTATTAAGCCGGTTTTCCACTTCACCCGTATCGTACCGAAACGTACTGGTGAGCATGCGCAGATTGAAAAGAGGTTTATAAATCCTCGGACTTCCGGGTGTATTCGCGTATCAAAATAAAACGTTCGTCGCAAGTCAACTTTTTGCCGTACTACGGAAGTACTAACAAATCAACATTCACGAAATTTTGAAATTTAAAAACGTTTTTGATACGCTTCGGTACGGTACGCTTGAAGTGGAAAACCGGCTTTAGCCTTACTTATGTTACTAAGCCTAAACTATTTATCTTTACAACAATTGTGATATTACTTTCCTGACTATGTTTATCCTAACCCATCCTGTTAACTTGCCCTGTGGGAGGAAACCGGAGCGCCCGAAGAAAAATAAAGCCTGGTCGCAATTACAATTTCTGCTACCTATAAACGTTTGGCAATTTTACAACGAATTCAGTTCATTGATTATTCTCAACAATTTTCAAACTTTAGGCACCTGTAGCCTATGTGCAGCTAGAATGAAAATCCAAGCAAAATATCTGGAACAGGTGCGTATATGAAGGTTTTTGTTTTAGTGAAACAAGACACACTCACTATACTACAGTTTAGAGATGGTTTATTGCTTGAGCAAGCAAGAATTTTTCTATATAAGCGTATATTCTACCTATAGGCGCTCCTATCTGGAAGTGTGCATGTGCATGACGTTTGCCTTGTGAAACAAGTTGCACGCTGGGTTTGATTCCTGCGGTTATCTGATTAAAATCTGCTAGCGGTTATGATAAATTATTCATTTATTCGAGTAATTGTGTAATTCGTGTGCAAGTCTCGCGCATATATTATATATCTGAGATTTCACATAATCTGCTCGAATTAAAGTTTATATTTATACACAATGTCAGTGTGATAATCGAGCATAACACTAGCAAGTGAGATTGCCTCCCAGGGTGCGGTAATGTTTATTGCTGCGTATACTTGAGCTGTACCAGTTTCCTAAACGGCATTCATTCTGTGCCTTCGTCCACTACGAGTTGAACAAGAACACAATTGCATTATGCAAACACATACAATTCTAATCCCATTCTAATGTTTCAGGCTAACATAATCTATTTAGACATAGCTACGTAGGGATTTTCTTGCAAAAAATTTTAAGGTGCAGAAGCTGTGCAGAACTTTTTTCCTCTATATTTCTGTATATTCCATGTAATTTTTTTCTTTCCCAAAGACCAAGTGCTTGCATGAATATTTTTCCAATTTCCGCTCTTTGAATGAATTTTGGTGTTGGAAATTAGTATCTGCAAAATATAAGTACATTGGTATAGTAGGAGTCCCGTTTACCTGCGTGGTGCTTGGCTGGGCTCTAGTAAAACACAAGAACGAGACCGTACCTCTACTCCTTCTAGTTTCACTTTACCAGACAGCGCTGTATACATACCTTACTGCAAATAACGTCAGCCTCCATAATTTGTGTTCTAGTGGTATGATATAGACTCGTTTACACCATTACATCTATAACTGTTACAGGAATCGAAACCTGCGGTCCTGCGATTTCGGTGCAGCGCTCTAACCAATTCCTGTCAGAGGATCTACAGTTGTATTTTTTCCAGCTGCTCTTGGTCAGATCTAAAATTGCATATTATCTTTCGCTCGAAATTTGCATTTCCGAGCTGGATGCTCATGCTATTCATGGAGCGTACATGGAGCACTTTCAACCCCGGGGTTGAACTCAGCCCTGGGTTGCAGGGCAGGAAAAAATAATTTTCTTCCTGGGAGCACAACCTGTAGACAAAAATTTCCTGCAGACCCACGGAGTATAAATTATTTTCCCCTAAATCTGCATGTGCATAAGCATATAGTGTTCTAGCTGACCATGGTTTTAAATTCAAAGAATAATTTCTGTCAACCACATGTTGGCAAGCCCATAGTGCGGGGACATGGGTGTTAAGGTTTCCTTTAAATTTTCAACAGCAAATCTTCATTCAAACTCATTTCCTGCAGCTGTTCAACATTTCCTGCGAGCAGTGCTAGCGTACTCGCCTTCGTTTCCCACCCCTGCCGGGTTGGAAATTTTTCGATTACATGGACGATTTCAATCCCGGGGTTGAAATGCTATACGTTCCCGGCGTTGATTCCGGAAGTAAAAAGCGATTCCCGTCCATTATTACCTAAATCATTCTCGACGTTCTTTATAACGTTCACATATAATGCTGTGTATATATAACGTTCACTGATAGGGCTAAAATTAAGCTTGTGTGTCTTGTTGATAATTTAATATATCATTTCTTAGATTGACGATCTTTACGAAGACTTTCACGTGACCAAATTACCGCTTCTTCCACACGAAGTGCGAGGATGTGATAAAATAAATGAATTTTCACAATATCTACGTGAGCCATATGTTCCAGAAGATAATTCAAAGTAGAATATGGATTTACAAACATTCGCAACAAATATGTGCCAAAAATGGTTGAATACATTATACATTTAGCAAATTTTGGTATAAAACGATGATTGTACAAAATGAATAAACGAATTCTGGAATTGCATGCGCGAACCATATTAATAGACTACCATAAACCTCCGAATATAATTAGCCCTGGGCTTATATTCGTTCGTAAGCATTTTTATGGACTTCAACCAATTTTCCACTTCAATCGTATCGTAGCGAAACGTAGCGTATTTCTTTGTTTCCCGAGCGGTAGTGTGGAACTAATGACTTCGACACAAAAGAAAATTCTACGGTTCGTTACGATACAATACGGCTGAAGTGGAAAAAAGGCTTTATTCACGGGTGGGCTTATATACAGGGTGTCCCAAAAAAAGCACCCTCTATAGAAATTATCTTATTGTTATAATTTGAATGCCTGAGCACTGTGCTGAACATGCACAAGAGTGCGTAAACACAATTGAATTAAATTTTTAATTACCAGGAGCATGAAATCCTGTGCTTAACAACAATAGGATAATTTCTGTATAGAGGGTACTTTTTTGGGGGACACCCTGTACGGACGACATTTGGTGTTAGTAATATTTATTGTAACTGTGAACTACAACGTAAACGAAATATGAACTTAAGTGTATATAAACATTATAAAACAAGTTGGTTAACATATAATACTCCAATGCAATTATCGCCACTCGTCAGAGCTGTTGAAATCCCAGTCGCCGCGTTAATAAATACCTGTCCAATTATAAGCCCATGGGCTTATAGACCCATTGCACATGACGTCACAGCGCCGGTGACGATGCATCTGAAGGACAAATTAGCAATCTATGCTTAATATAACTTTTGTAAAGAAAGCAAATTTTGTAAAACTTTATAATAATTCTGTATCAAAATGGTTAGTTTTTGCGCTGTATGTGGTTGTTGTACCCGAACAGATATTGTTAGGGAGCATCTGGAGGACACTCTAAGGATTTGTGACGTCAGTGCAAAGGGTCTATACACGGGTGGGCGTATATTCGGAAGTTTACGTGGCGACAGAGAAGAATGAAAATTTTTTACCATCACACGAATGAAAACATTCATTATTTGTTATATAATGGCACTATAAAGTTTATAAAATAGATCAATGTTATGGATCTTTTACAAGTACAGTACATACCTGAGTTACATGTTCAAATTAATAAAAATAAAAACAACAACAAGTCCCAGAAAATGTTTTAATTAATGAAGAGTTAATATAAAGTCATTTATGCAACCTCAACATTATCAAAAAATAAATAGAGGATATTACACTGCGGCGCGAAGATATGACTTTTATCTTCGAGTCACCGGTGATTCAGAAAACAATAAAAGTCATCTTCAAGCCACCGTGTAATGTTCTGTTTATTATATAGTCCCAAGCAAAAAATTGTGAAATTTCACGCTCAAAAGCAAATTGGAAAAAGTCACGTGATCGATATCTTCACTTTAGTGAAGATGATGGAAAATATCTTACTGCGTATTTTTTCAGTATCTCACTCTCTACTATATAATAAATGTATTTATACACCCACAATTTTGCTTACTTGAATTCAATTTAGTTCAATTCAATCGTCGTATTTATGAAAATTATGGTCAAATGAGTTGCGATTACGGTACGAATAGGGATTTTGACAGATGGAATTAATTTATAACCAAACCGTAATTCCATTGATAAAAACGTATGGTACAAAAAGCCACGGCTGGACCATTGTTGCACGATCATAAAAATGGTACTCTTTTCAATATCACGTGACCATAATCAGCCAATTGAATGGGCGTAGCCATGCACGGGGGGAATGGGGGAGATACTACACAGCAGCAAAATAATGCCAGCAGAATTTATGTTAATTCACACTACGCCGTAATAGTTTGTCATGTTAAATTAGCACTGATGCAAACCCAGCATATTTCAAATAGAGCAAAGCATCCGAAGTATTTACTGTTTTGAAACCTGAGATGCTTGGTATGCAAGTAGACTGAAAAAAATATCTGCGATAATAAACTTTGTATTCACACGAAGCCGCCAAGCGCTCCGTTTTGCATCTCGCTCCGTTTAGAAAGCGTGCTCAAATTGTTACGGCAAAAGTGACGTTTTTAAACAAATTCGCTCCGGCGTAGTGTGAACGTTGTCTTAATGAAATCGCATTTTACAAATAATATGTACCACGTGTACCAATAATACTATAAATTATGTTTTCAAATACTTAAATACAAATAAACTAAAGTTTTTTTATCGTAATCTACGGGGACCACATTTCCATAAATTAGAAAATTTCAAATGCAATTGGAGCATTTGTTTTGGCGTTGCTTGTAGACTTAACAACAAGTCTTTATGTTTGCAAACGTCCCAGGAGTAATCAGAATGTAGCTGGAAATATTTACTACGATCTACTGGTACAATTTTTAATTTTTCTAGAATCAGACCAATATAGACATCTTCTAATACAAACCACGGTTGTGTGGGTATAATCACCATCATGTTTTGAAAGACATCTGAACTTAAGATATAACCCATTCCAACACAATATGGTGGATAAGTGTCTTTTTTGTAATCCGTCTTTGATACAGCCCTGTATAAAAAGTTATAGCCAGTCAAAAACATCATAACTTAAACTCCTTCTTAATTGCCTTCCCTTGTTTCACTACCGGATGAAGTCGAGATTCTTTGAGGGAACCTTTTTACTGATAACTGAAGCCTTGTCATATCATCGAATTTAACGGTTTCAATAAAACGCTGTTACCCTTGCAAGAAAGATTATGCGTAACCATGTTTTTCATTTAAAGCACAATCAGGCCATATAACAAAAACTTACTGACCTCGACCATGCGGGCTGCCGGGCAAAGTATCAAAACTCGATTTTGCACTTCGGTTACAGCCCTCACTCTCGGTCAGTTGGTTATTAATATTCTCACTGTTTTCAAATAGACACCGATTTGGTCTTTACAAATGCCCGGTGTTTCTTTAATTGCCTTCCATCTTAGAAAGTAACATCACTCCAAATATATCACCTGTACAGTTGTCTGTGATGTTACTCTGAGTGTGCATCCACACCGGGCAAGTTGAAAAGTTTGCCTGACCACGGTGGGAATCGAATTCTTTGGGATCCCAGCCTAATGCTCTACCAACTGAGCCACGAGGTCAAGTCGATTCGAGTTGGTGATATTTCGCGAACTGAGTCTAGTTCCTTCGATATCTATGTATTCTAAGATTTGATGATTTTTGTGTGTGTTGATGTTATGTACATAGGCGTACCGGGCGGGGGGGGGGTAGCCCCCCCCCAGTTTTTTGGGCAGTCGGGCAATATTCGATCAACAGTCGGGCAATTTTGGTTTGTAATAAAAATAAATGGGACAAATTCTGTCAATTTAGTCAGAAATTCAGTCAATTTTGTGGAAAATTTAGTGTTGTATGGAAAATTTGTGAGATGTTCCGAAAAATTTTGATATGTCCGGAAAAATTTTAAAACCCCTAAAATGGTACACTGACCGAAAATTTTTTGGCGACGGGGGGGGGGGGAGGTCGCCGAAATAAAAATTTTCGGACTAGTCGCGCAGAATCCCGAAAAGTCGGGCAAATTTCTTTCCGCCCCCCTAATTTTTTCCTTCCGGTACGCCCATGGTTATGTACTCAGGTGAATACGATGTTTGTGATGTTATATCCACACCAGGCAAGCTGAAAAGTTTGCCTGACCACGGTGGGAATCAAACCCTAGTCGCGGGTTCGACATGACATAAACACACACAAAAATCATATCACCAGTTGCTAAATGACCGATGAATATCACATGCACCGTACGCAGTCGTAACTCTGGGGCTTGATGGATTATTATACTTCACATACTTCAATATACATCTGAATTCTGGAATCTCTGTAATCTGATCTCATCAGCAGGGAAAGGCCTAGCTTGACGACTAATTTGTTTAAACTAAATTCATTCTCACTTACCATTTGTTCCCGGCTGTTCGAATCACCGTCTTATTAAATGAACATCTACCCGTATAGATCCTCTCTCTTGGTAATTGCCACAACCATTTCACAAGTCCCTTGCTGTACACAAAAACATCGTCATCCGTCTTCAAATAGTATTCAAACTTGCAAAATAGATGAGCCCATCCTAGACCAAGTTTTGTTTTTAATGTTAAATTACCATAACTATCAGTGAACGAGCCAATCACTAGATCGTTGTAATATTCCGATTCGATTTCTATAATACTTTTGGTTTTCTCATCAGTCTGACCAAGTAAGAACATTGTTTTAACCAGACTCTGCCCAGTGTAAGACCCCTTAATAATGTTTGTCATGGCAGGATCTTTGTCTATAATATCAGCCCAAGTACTGCGAATTATAGACCTATGTTCAAAGTTCGTCGGCGCAGAAAAGACGACAATGAGAACAAACACTGGTCTTTTGCAACGCGGAAACGCAGGAATCTGCATGCTTACGTAGTCTTGACTCGTTACTGAGTTTGTCTGATAATAGCATAGCCAAATGTAATGCAGTACAAACAACAGAAATATGCTTCTGGTGATAAGACGAAGCAGGAATTTCTTCCAATAAAGATATAACATATTTCAGTAGATCAACTGACGATCATACGATATTGTAGCATCGGTAATAGCTAGACTCCTTGTAGCTCAGTTACAGGTGACTGATAGCAAAAACTAGACTGCTAGACCATACTAAAGAATCGGACAGATTCATTATTATATGATATGATATGAAAGTATATATGAAATGATCAACGATTAAACAAACAACTTTCCTCTTTCAGTTGACATGTTAATGGACATATCAACTGAAAGATGAAAGTTGTTTGTTTAATCATTTATGGCATTTCATATACTTTCTCCTCCATGTAACAGCTAGACTCTTTGTAGCTCAGTTACAGGTAACTGATAGCAAAAGCTAGACTGCTAGACCATACTACAGAATCGGACAGATTCATTATATGATATGATATGAAATTATATGAAATGATTAAGCAAACAACTTTATAATATAGCATTTGTAAATTCTGAACACTGATTGGCTAAGAGCCGTGTTGATATAACTCAATGTCAACACGGGAAATTTTCCGCCGCTTGTAAACACGAAAATTTTTCTTATCCTTCGGGCTTTTGACATTGCTATATTATAAAAAAAATATAAAACTTTTTTCCGTATTGATATACAGTTATATCAACACTCGTGGAAGTTGGGAAAATTCGAAATTGTATGAAAACACTCCGCCCTTCGGGCGTCGTGTTTCCATACAATTTCTCGTTTTCCCAATTCCACTCGTCTTGATATAAATGTATATCAACGGGTGTAGATAAAAGGCGGACGGACGGCGGACCGCGGACGGCGGAGCATTTTATAAACACACGATTACTACCGCAACTAATTATAATATACCTTGAATTAAAGTATACCAGCCTTAGATCTGTGAAATGAATATGTTTTCACCCGTTCGAATTCTTAGCAATGGAATTTTTTAATCAGCATTCAAGTGATTCAGTACGTATTTATGATAGGCTATACGCCGTCGTTCACGGAAAACTTTTGGAAATATTGTAAAAAAGCGCCTCAGATTTCGAGCTTCTGTTAGGCAGAATTAAATGTAATCCACTTGCTGACATTTTCGTACTTTAAATAAATGTGCTGACTTGTTGTTTTATAATGAAAATAATCCTCGTTTTAATTCTAAACCTAAGAGGTTCACATGTAGAAATAGCCGATTTGCATGCGACGACTATTCTATATATGGATTTTAGAAATATTATGTATTAGGGGCGGATCATTTGATTGGGTGGATTTTCATTGAGCCCAATAATTTTTTAAACCTCCTAATGCTGCTCGATATTTTTCGTCATTCAAGGCTCTTGAACGATTGTTTTATTTCGTAGGCACATACAGGTAGTAGGTATTGAGTTTTGGCTATGGATCGTGATGTAAGAGAATTTTTTATAAAGTTTGGACATGCAAATGTTCACAATTGTATATATTTACAATTGTATATATTTGTTATTTATTTAACTGTATTGAGTTATCGATATTTTCCTGACATATTTATGTAAATATAATATATTATAATATCTACTATGTAAATGTCACACAGTAATTAGTGTAACAAGCTGTTTGAAAAATGTATATATGTGTGCATCGTAAATATTCAGGGCCGTCCAGAGGGGGGCAAAGGGGGCAAATTGCCCCGGGCCCCGAGTTGCTGGGGGCCCCTGAAAATTTTTTGCAGGGCCCCAGCCATTTTTGTGTGTTAAATATTTCCGCGGAAAGGACAAGATATCTGTTTTCTTGGGCTAAGTACCGAATTTTGGCATAAAAAAATGAGATAAAGTCCCTCGAAAGCATTTGCAACGTACTCGTCCGGCAAAATTTTGTACTCCGGAAAAAATTTTTTACCCCTAAAATGGTACACTGACCGAAAATTTTTTGGCGACGGGGGGGGGGAGGATGTTATCCGAAAAAAGGGGCCCCTAACAAAAAAATTTGCCCCGGGCCCCCGCCAACCTCTGGGCGACCCTGTAAATATTGGGTATTATATCATATGTATTTGAAGGCTCAGGGAAGGTTATAATTTCGTTCTACATTTATATACAACCTTGGCTACGCGTTAGCCTCGGGAATTAATTTCATTATAAAAAAACAAATCAGCACAATTTAAAGTATGAAAATGACAGCAAGTGGATGTCATGTAATAGCCCCCCCTATAATATTTTAATTCAATGGCAGTGTTAGGGCAGTTATATATAGAAGCACCAAAACTAAGCCGCTTTTTTGCAACATTTCCTAACGTTTCACACGAAAGACGGCGAATAGCCTCCTATCATACATATGTATCGAATGCTGATTAAATTAAATTCCATTGCTAAAAATTCAAACAGATTAAAACATATTCATTTCACAGATCTAAGGCTGGTATACTTTAATTTAGGGTATTATAATTAGTTGCGGTAGTATTAGTAATCATGTGTTTATTAAATGCTCCGCCGTCCGCGGTCCGCCTTTTATCCGTCCGCTTTTTATCTACACCCGTATATCAACACGGAAAATGTTTTATATTTGTTAATTCGTCTTTCAGTTGACATGTTAATGGACATATCACCTGACGAAAGTTTTTCGTTTAATCATTTATCTTTTCATATACTTTCTCCTCCATGACATACTGTGTAAGCCATGACATCACGGTGATGACATACATATAAGCCATGACAAAACATGAATATTCCATTACGTGGGAAGTATTAAGTGTCAACAAGCTTTCGTTGGTACCTGAAAAAAATAAGGAGAATTTTGACATTTCGAGCGAAGGCCCTTCGTCTGGAGTTACTGTTACGAAGGGACCTCGCTCGAAACGTCGCAATTCTCCTTATATTTTTCAGGTAGATGCATCCCTAACAACGAAAACTTGTTAATACTTGATATTTTCTGTGTTGGTGTAATGTACTCAGGTGAATAAGATGCTTGTGATGTTACTCTGAGTGTATATCCACACCGGGAAGGCTTGAAAAATATGCCTGGCCACGGCGGGATTCGAACCTACGACCTTTGGAATACTAGCCCAATGCTCTGCCAACTGAGCTACGCGGTCATGTAGGTTCGAGTATGTGATGTTTCGGAACTGAGTCTAGTTGTTAATACTTTTGGGACTACCTTCACTGTCACAGACAGTTCAAGAAGTATCAAGTGTCATATCAACTATGGTCATCAATTGCGCAAGTGAAAACATGCTTTTTCGACATATAATCCGGCCGTTTATTTTACGAGTTTCGAACGTATTGTTCCGACCCCTGAAAGGGCGAGGAAAAATGCGAGAAACAAGGAAAATGCTCGGCAGGATTATATTCAATGGGATTTTATTTTTATTATATGACAAACTGGTAAAAACTAGGTTCCTTGGGTTTTTTTAAGGATTTGCATGCATTTAGCTCTTTTTAATTAAACGGCAAATATATTTTCAGATTTTCAGATGCAATGAAAACAAAAATCATGAAACAGGTTAAAAAGTTGCATACCAAATTAGGAACAACTTAACACTGACGTCATCGTTCTTCAATTCGATTGGACAATTAAAATATCACAAACAAAGAAAAGGGATGATAGGAATGCAGCAACCTGAAAAATGTAATTAAGGGATGGGCCATGAGATTTTTGAGGGGAGAGGGCAATATTTTCGTGCATGATATTTTTTTCAGGCAAATTATGTGCAGGATTTTTCTTTTCACCATGAACGCTTGGGGATATTTTTTCTTCGAATATATGACATAGTATCGTTAATTTTATAGTTTTTCTACGTTGACCTTCTATGCAGGGTCATAGCGAAGGATCTGAAGTTTGGTGGGGGGGGGTCGGAGGATTTGACCTGAAATTTGAACTTCAATGTTAAAAATTTACCTGAAGTGTAATAATTGTAATAAAGCTTTTAATTTTGTGATTGATTTGCACTCATACTAAGTTTCGAGAGAAAAGGAGGGTCTGGGGGTCATCTCCCAGAAAACTTTTACATTTCTAAAGTACTAGAACTGCATTTCTAGTGTTTTCTAAAGCAAATTCGCAAACGAATTGGATGTAAATTGACTGTATTTTACAAAACTGATTACTCTGTTTATACGCAAATGAAACTGGAAAATGTCAAAATTTTAACTTGAATTTTACCTCGTTACTCTGAGTTTCACAGTTAGGGAGGAGGGGTTACACCCCCCTCCCCCGCCGGTCGTGACGTCCCTGCTTCTATGTTACTAAGGTGCTCACAAAATCAATGCCTAATACCAATCTACCAATCTTAGTAACCACAACCCTAGCTATATATTCGTGGGCGTAACATGAGCGGTTTAAATATCCCTTTCCTAGCTTTGCTTTTTGCTGATGTATAAAATAGCCGTGCTGGATATCAACCTCCTTCCCAGGGTATTCGCTCTTTCCCTGCTGGAAACGAGGTTGGCTGGATATTAGTACCCTCGCCTTGGGCTTATGATCTGGTTCTGTTTTATAATTCTGTTTTTAAAGAGCAGATGTGCTTTGTGTTGATTAAAAGGGTGTTGTCATAAAATGGTTGCTGTTTTAATAAACATTCCACTTCTTGTCCAAGAAGGTATAAAATAAAAGTAGCAACGAATTGATGCCAATAATATTCACTATAATCTGTATAACATGAAGTATATCAATGCGTGATATTATTTGTTTTCGTGTTTTTGATTAAACAGGTATCCCTATTGGCCTATTGTATCCCTTGAAGCCTTGTTTCATTTCAGATTTGATATAAAATCCTACAAACTTCGTAAAAACATATAAAATACCACGTATAGTTCTAAAACCATGGCCGTTTGCACGACTTTTTTTCCTGTAGTTTTCTTGTGCAAGATTTTTTTCCTTGGACTTGGTTAAAGTTCTGCTCGAATTTATTAATTTCTGTATTTGCCCCCCCCCCCCCTTAAAAAATCTAGGAGAATTTCGACGGTTCGAGCGGAGTTACTTCGTCTGGAGTTTCTAGCAGGGCGGAAGTTCACTAGATGTCACGCCTCTTGACCTGTAGTATTTTAGTTATTTCATGATCAAAGTATTGCGTTCAGTTTAACAGGGAAATGTTCTGTGAAGTGCGAATATTTTTCTAGAGTTAGAGCGGGCAACCAACACTTTGCATAGTCGCAGGTCACAAGCACATATCAAATGGCAGTATAATGACACAAGATTTAATATTACACTGCAAATAATACGTAGAGAATGCGTTTTAGAACATAACACAACATAAATATGTCATGTAACGTCTATGTCCGGTAACTTGGATCTTAGTTGACTATTATACTATTAACGCAAATGGTTTTTAAGTGGGATCTTCTCGACTAAACATGCATGCACTGACTGCATGCATATGGGTGCGGGGAGGGTGCAGCCCTCCTTTCAGCCCTCTCCCGGCTCGAGTGCGCATGTGTATGTATACATATTATGTGAATACATATTTCTCGAGCTCTATATATTGATGTGCATGAAATATTGAAATACAGTTGAAAGACGCTATGCCATCATTGTTACAATGTGCAAATATTACTCAGTGAGCTCCATATATATCTGGAGCGAGACTCTAGTTCAAAAAGTGAGGCCAAGATGGCGAAGTTGAAGATGTATTGGACGTCTGTTCCATTCCCTATCTAATGTTTTTGTCTGGACGGTTGACACAAACCTTTTGAATTTATCAATAGAGTTAATTATAAAACCACAAGCATTAGGCAAGACTTCTTGTCAGTATAAATGTAATGGCACTAAAACGGAGGCTGGTCGCGCGGGGGTGGGGAGATTCCACTATTTTCCAAAAAATAGTTTTTAAAACTCTTTTAAAAAAACTTTTAAAAGAGTTTTAAAAAGCAAAAAAGTTTAAAAAGTTAGATTTTCAAAATTTAAAAAAGTTAGGGTTAGGGGTTAGTTGATAGTTGTTAGGGGTTAGTGGTTAGGGGATAGTGGTTAGGGGTTAGTGGTTAGGGTTGGGGTTAGTGTTAGGTGCCGCGAATTTATTATTATGATAAATTCAAAATGTGCCGCGAATTTATCATAATGATAAATTCGGACGTGTTTAAGAATTTACTCATATAGTTAATTCAAAGGTGGAGCTCATGCTGTAACGATGATAACGATGCTGGAATTTGCTGGGGAAATGGTATTAAAACTGTTTATGACCTTCATAGCTATTGGACGTCAATTCCGCCATCTTGGTTTCACTTTTCTCATACGCCGAATGCATATATGACTGAATATATATATATAGAGAGAGAGAGTGCATTGATACTACTACAGTATATAGTACTGCATGTGCAATAATAGTCCTGGGTTATTACGAAAGTTACTTTTTTGTTATGAGTATACAAAGATTCTTCTTTCCGCGGTTTATGTGTTGTTCAAAACAGTCCATGGAATTCTTTGTTCTTGTGAAGTTCCTTCACTGATACACAAGTCTTGATCAGGCAATAGTCTCCTTTGCTTTTACATTTCCTTTCGAAACATTGCTGTTGTTTGCGCAACCGGCGCAATGCTTTCTTAATTTTTGCCTATGGAAGAAGAAGATCGTATTCATATGTAGGGCTTCGGTAGCGCAGTTGTCAGAGAAAACACATTTCACCTATGATTCACATTTGAGATCGTGGGTTCGATTCTAGCGTTGCCCACTCATGTGAAAAGAGTCAGTCAACGCTATGCCGAAAGTCGTAGGTTTTCTTTGGGTTCCCCGGTGTTCTGCCGCAGGGAAAGTTGCCTGGAAGGGTTAGGATAAATACAGTTAAGAAAGTAGTAGTCACAATTGTTGTAAAAGATAAAATAGTAATTATGATCAACATTTCTATCTGAGCACGAATTTACATGTGAATATGAACAAATGCGCTTTACATCGAGTATTACGCGTACCTATAATTATATACACACCCTAGGTTATTTAATTTACCTTTAAGCCGGTTAAAGACGAGCAAGTTTTCCATGACAAGTTTTTGTGTGACAAGTTTTATTTGCTCGTCTGGACGCACAACTTTGACAATGTAGTTTCTATGACAAGTGCACTAGCATGCTAGCCTGTGAACAAGTGCACTTGTCATAGAAAACATTGTCAAAGTACAAATTTTGTTGGCTTGTATGGGTCAACAAAGAAAACTTGCAAAGTAATCTGAGCATTCGATGTGATTGGCCAGCGCTCGCGTTGTCCGCTGTTCTATTACATTGCTGGCTACTAATAAATTGTCCGCAAAGTAAACTTGTTGACACGTTCACACCAGTAAAATAAAACTTGTCATAGAAAACTTGCTCGTCTGTAACCAGCTTTACAACAATTGTGATATTACTTTCTTAACTGTGTTTATCCTAACCCACCTGCATTCTAGTTTCCCAGTGGGAAGAAACCAGAGAAGCCGGAGAAAACCCACGACTTCTCGTTGACTGACTCTTTTCACATCAGTCGGTCGCGAACTTAGAGGTGAAAGGTGCTTGCTCCGATGAATACACCACGGAAGTCACTCAAATCCAGGAGATTTGTGTCAATCACTTAGCAAAACAGTTGCAACTATATATACCTGTATATTTCGTAACAGCGACGCGAACCTCTTCGAATTCCCCTTTAGAAGAAACATTAAAGACAGCTTAATGACAGCTTAATGCTCATTGAAGACATATATCATACAGAAAACTACAGTACTTGAAGTGTATAAATTTGTTTTATAGCTATATACTTGATGTTTGTATTGTTTAACTCTGTATGGTATTCCGTTCTAACAACGGTCACCACCTTGCATACATGCGACTTTATACGTCCTATTCAATTCCTGTTCTAAATAGTCTATTTAATTTGGTTATTCTACTAATTGTCTTGTACTTATTCTCCAATCCGGTTGGCGTCATCAATCAAAATTTGGATGACCTGTAGATGTGTTTAACGTACACACCCTGAGATATCCTTTTCATACACATTATAAAGGTGTGTTAAACACACCTACAAGTGTGTTTCAAAACACATCAAAAGATGTGTTGGCTTTTGAGGAAAAAAGACGTGTTAATTTAACTCACCTTTTTTAGAGTGCACATACCTTTTTATCATTTTGGTCACTATTAACTGGGTTCAGTAATTGACGTTTCCTGCTGTCCGATTCTGATTGACATCCATTGTCCACGGCCGCAATTACACTGGCCTCATTGCGACAATTGAATACACAATCATATGCATTGCTTTCACACTGCCAATAAGGCTGGTTATTCTTGACACACTTACGATAGTCTGGAAACTCGCACCCCTGACAGCAATCATTGATTGTGAAAGAAAAAATGTTTCATCGTATTCGTCTTTAATGAATGATGCAATAAAACAATTCATTGACCAGCCACGGCTTGCCTATTAAGGACAAAATGCGCTACGTTTAGTACACTGGCTTTCAGTACCATAAAGATCTCTAAAGATCACTACATCGAGTTTGAAGTGCAGCTAAGTTTTTAAAGGGGGTAAGCAAGTAAAGCGCCGAGTATTCGACTATGGAAAATAGGGCCTTTTTAAGAATTCGTCTGCTGGGGGCATCTACAAAAAGGGACCATACTATACTGAGTGTGGAGAGATGGCAGATGGTTGTTGGTGATAACAAGTTTGGTGTGGTGTCCTATGTAATCGTAGGGTGGTCTTTTTGTATTTTTCCACCCATAGGACTGCATTTCGTGCGCATTCTGAAACAGAGTTTTGGATACGCAGCGTACATTACACTGTAGATTGTTTGTGTAAATACCACAACTCAGTCACTAACTTGTTTAGCCTAGCCGTCCAAAAACTCAAATATATATGGTTTGAGATATGCTATCCATTGGAAAATGAAAATCTAAGGTAGCTACAACACATTGTTTAGCATTTTTTTTTAAAACATTGAATCATTTGAAGATAAATGACATCACATAAGATTCACAAAACAACTTTCAGTTACTAGAATATCAAACCTCCCTCCTAAATTCCATTTTTCTCCCAATGTTTTGCTTAAGTTTTACAGAAAAGGGACTTTGAATGGGGGGGGGGGAATGCTTTATTGGGGGCGGGCACCGTGGGGAGTGGGGGGCTTTGATGTTGCATCTAAGTGGAAAATATGCGAATGTCACACCCGTCATTAAAAAGATCTTAAAGAGCCGACGGAACATTACAACCAATATATAGCTGCCCATCGTTGGCAAAGTTCTGTAGCGTTGCGTGCGCATCAGACTACATGAACATGTTAGGCTGCGCCTTATCACGAAAGCACAAACCGGCTTTCTCAAATGCACGACGATCTTACGTTACTCAACTACTATCGATCAGTATACTTAGCTGCACACCAGCGGACAATCCCTTGACAAGAACCTTCAAACTGACGTTATCTACCTCGATTTTGCGAAAGCATTTGACTTTGTCAATCACCAAATTCTTCTCCACAAGCTTGCGTCATACGGTGTGTCAGGCCAGTTATATGAATGGTTCGGGGACTATCTCGGTGGTCGTCGTCAAAGAGTAGTTGTTGATGGAACTACATCGAATTGGGCGCCTGTTACATCTGGTGTGCCGCGCAAGGCAATCTCCTGGGCCATGTTCTGTTTGTGATATTCATAAACAACGTTCCCCGACATATTACCCAGACGAGACATTGGCAGATTTGTATGGAGATGACACTAAACTGTACAAGTCCATCACATCATTAGGTGATTGTGAAAATTTGAAACATGCTTTAGAAGATCTTGACTGCTGGAGCCTTGACAGCAACCTCGATTTTAACGAGTGTATAAGTGTAAGGTGTTGACAATCACAAGAAAAACATTCCCGCTAACGTGTTCCCAATATATTCCCGCTGACGTGTTCCCCGACATATTACCCAGACGAGACATTGGCAGATTTGTATGGAGATGACACTAAACTGTACAAGTCCATCACATCAGTAGGTGATTATGAAAATTTGAAACATGCTTTAGCAGATCTTGACTGCTGGAGCCTGGACAACAACCGCGATTTTAACGAGTGTATAAGTGCAAGGTGTTGACAATCACAAAAAAAAAACATACCCGCTGACGTATGTATATCATACAGACTCAAAGAACATACTCCTAATTACCCCAAATGAAGATCTTTATGTCGTTGAACTTACTGTCGGGTTTGAATCTAATCTCCATAATAACGTTGAACGCAAAAAAGCTAAATACAAAGATCTAATTGAAGATCAAAGGGGTCACTTCAATTCTGTTAAATTTGTAAACCTATCAATGAGCTCTCTCGGTGTGTTTGACAAAAAATGCTTCACCTTTTTGTTGCATGCCATATATGGCATGCAACTTTCATATAGCTCTAAATTTCGTGTCGCGGTGGCGGTGAGCGGTGAGCGTACCGGTCACGTGGCAAATTTGTAAAATGCGACAAATACCGAGCTTTTCCGACGAACATTTACGAACATTTATAAGCATAATTATCTCTGCAAATTATAAATTCGAAGTGATTATATGACCAGCAGCCGGTCACGGTTTATCAAATACTAAATGGCCGGCAGTCTAGTGACTATTGTTAAAGTTGAATTTTTATAAGATAAACCTATCCCCAACCCCAAACCCTTTTCTAACCCTAACTCCTAACCCCTAACCCTAACCTTTTGAGAGTTAGAAAAGTCGGAAAAAAAAGTTTAAATATTTTAAGAAAAAACAATGCTAAGTCAGACAAAACACATCCCGACCCCGACTGCGTTTAACTTTACGCACGCAGCGCCCTTGGCCTTGCCGTATGAGCTAATGGCAAGCTCGGTAAAAGTTAACGCAAACAAAAGTTTTTATATTCAACTATGGGGCCATTCACAAAGGATGTCCGAGCCGAGGGGGGGGGAGGGGGGTTTGGAAAATCAGGACAAACTCGGACATAGGGGGGGGGGGGGGGGTTAGCAATCCGGATGTCCGAAATTTAAAAAAATTCAAAAACAAATTTCTTTTTCCCTCTATTTTGAGCAGTCCTTCCCATTGTGAAATTGGCATTTTGACTATGCGGTTAACACTAGATTTTGTTTTAATTAGTAATTTATATGTTTTTGTGTACACATTTACAGTTATAAAAAAGTTCTAAAAGTAAAAGTTTTTTACTCTTGATATATACAAGGTTGCGTGAGTTTTTGCGAGGCATGGCGGATGTCCGGGGGGAGGGGGGTCACTAATTCGGACAATGCCCGACAAGGGGGGGAGGGGGGGGTCTGAAAATCCATCATTTGGCCGGACATCCTTTGTGAATGGCCCCTTAATGCTTCCAGCCAAGAGTGCAGTCAATCTAAATAAAATGTACGTAAATTGTATGGCGTGATATTTCTTTATAATAGATAAACCAAGCGAAAGTTTGAAGGCAGAATTTTTGTCAATTATTGAAGTCATGAAAAGACTACCTGTACATAATGGAGTAACTAATTTGTTAGGATGTATTACAAAAGAAGGTAATCTAGTCCAATCTTTTGTCTAATAGTTTAGGAATTTAAGGCGTGGGGAATGTTAGTTTTCGATGGATATACAGTAGATACTTCGTACGTCAGAAATACGAGCATTTATAAATATGGCGTTTCATGATCAAGTTACAGCCTATCGCCAGGACTATATTTAACACCATTTTGTAACAGAACTGCTTGCTCACGTAAAATTTCTGTCCTCTTCTCTGATCAAAGATTTTAAATTTGTGTGATACCGGAAACAAAGAAAACCGAATTCAATAATTATTTAAAACCGAATTCCGTGAAAACCGTTATGTGAATTATTATATCGGTGAAACCGAATTATGCGAATTATGTGATCGTGAATTATGTGAAAACCGATTCAATAATTATTTTATTATTTATTTAAAAGATGTAAAAGACACCACACCGATGCGTTAAAATTCTTCAAAATAAAGACAAGTCATTTCGTCATGCAAAATGCATGTCCCTTTCTTTGACACATTTGTCAAAAAATATTTCAGCGCCTTTCCCAAAGTCTGTAAGAGGCCGAAGAAGAAGGCATTTCGTTTCCATTAATCTTTTCTTGGTTATATATCGTCATGTTTCGTGCACGAATATATTTCTTTTTCATCCTGGCCCCAATCACAACCCTATATCCATGAACCTAATCCTATTGTGCGCAAAGCATAACGATATTATACATTAACCCTTTATTATCATGTATAACCTTTTCTTCATATTGAAACCGTTTTTACTCATATTTCATCATTCGTGTGATAACTCCATATTTGGTAAGCCATTCAGTTGATAGTTTGTTAGTCTGTCAGTTTGATCGGAATCATAAGTATGTCTTCGCCCTTGTGTGCAGGGTACCGCACCCCAGTACTACATGTATGTCTGTTTTTAAAACTTGGCCAAAGGTTATTAGAAAATCTGGTTTACATACTGGTTTCACCAGTGGGGGAGCAAATACAGTAGCATATACAAACGGTTACTAAATATTCTGACATAGTACTGTTGTCAAAACTAGACACAAATTTCTTATATATATATATATTGTTAGGTCCCATAACAATCATCCAAGAGTACGTACCATGTGGTGATCTGTTGGGATACATGAGAACAAGTCGGGGTCTACATGATCAGTATTACATGGCAGAAAAAGCACGTGTGAACGACCTTAGTTCTGCTGAACTTATGTCATTTGCTGAACAAATTGCATCAGCAATGGCTCACTTAGAGCGTTACAATGTGAGTAACCATCTTTTCATATAGCGTCCATACGATACAGTACGACATGACTTTGTATGCCTTTCAGAAGAGCCGTCGCAGAGGGGGAAGGGGTGACACCCTTTGAAAACAAGTTGTCGCCGGGAAAATGAAGAATTGTCGGCGAACTTTGACTTTCCCCCCCCCAATCAACAAATGAAGTGGTATATGATATTATACCTTGTTTGTTGTCCTCAGCAGTCTAGGAATAGTAATAAACCATTTCCGAATTGTGTTCCGATTGTCAATAGCAATACCACCAAGGCGGGGCTTAGTGCTATAGAAACATTACAATTTAGCACGAATCCTCGATCTCACGCTGTTGTCTGTGGGCATTCCACCATAATTTGGAAATGACGTTTGGAGTGGTACGATAAACTAGGGTTCGATTCCATATTGGAACTCCATTTGGACACTTATTACTTCACACACTGTCTGTTTTTTAAAGAAAACAAAAATCTAAATTAAGGTATGCGCGAGAGTATAAATGATATAGATATCCTGATATACTGTCAACTTTTGCATAATTTTAAGGTAATCCACGGTGATCTAGCCGCCAGAAATGTTCTGGTAGGTCGGCAGGGTCTTTGCAAACTGGCAGGAATCGGTGAACAACCTCTGGTGTTCGACAAGGATACATATGCTACCAGGAAAAAGGTATCAGTGCGTAAAAATATAAATACTAACAACACTCATCTGTATCAATCCTGGTGAAACCAGGTCTATACTAGAGTATAGGGGGTTTCCCAAAAAATATCCCCTTCGCTAAACCCTTTGCTACCAACAATTTATCAACCCTGGATATAGCAATGGCACTTATTTTAGTACGGCGTGGTTAAAACTACGCGGTCTGGTAGAAAATCACGCAAATCTGTCTACAGCGAGCATAAAACGTGCAAAACGATACTGGGAAATTTCCTATGGAAATTTCTAATATGCCAGTGCGCCCGTCACAGCGGCGACGTAGCAATTTTCCGTTTCGTAAACCGCCTGGCTCAAGCTATAGGGCCCAAATCAATTAGGGGGCCCTGAGCAAGAATGACAAAGTGGCCAAGTTGATATATTTCAGCAAATTTTACATATTCGTAGCTGCCCCGCCCATCAATCGAAAGAATGGATGAACAAAATGAAAACATGTTTACATTCACCATAGGATCGTTTGGTAGTTAAGTGGGCGGCTGTTGAAGTTGTGATTGATAAAATCAGAACTATTCAAAGCGATGTGTAAGTATTTCTTTTAGTTTTCTGAATATAGGACATGTTTTTCAAGTGAACTTTATGAAAACTTGGTTCCTACAGTTCTAATTGCACGGAGGTCTCATGTATTTTAAAGTTTATCTTAACCGTTACATTAATTGACAGTTAATTAATTTCCTGTATTAGCTATAGGTATTTTAAGAACACCATAACTAAGATGGCATCGATTGTAAAGATAATATACAATTCAATTTCAATTATTTGTAACGTAATATAACGAATTACAGCAATTAGCCATTTCCCAATCGAGCAGAGGACTGGGTCTAGTCGCTTGTTTGGAGGGACAAGAAATAAACAATATACCGCCAAAAATAAACAATATGCCGAATATGGCATCTAGGACGTTTTCCTACATTCCTAAAGTTATTTGTGCAGCCTGAAACGCAACAATTATAATAAGGCATCTTTTAATATATATTTAGCTCGCTCACTATAACTTGTTGTCCATCCAAACGTCCCTCCAAACATCAACTAGATCCAGTCCTCTGCTCGATTGGGAAATGGCTAAATAGAGAATAATACATGGGTGTGCGGAAATACCAGATTTATTTCGAGTGTTGAACATGATATCTCACGAGTGAGCGCAGCGAACGAGTGAGATATCATGTTCAACACGAGAAATAAATCTGATATTTCCAAGCACCCATGTATTTTTCTGTTTATTATATAAACAAAATTCAGTGAAAAACAATAAAACGTCCGTGGCAATGCGTTTTACAACAAATGATATTTTCACACGTAAAAATATCGTATTTTTTACGTGTGTTCAAATACGATTTTTCTCAGTGGCCAAAAACTCTATATAACACTTATGTTTATATAATAATTGGTATTATATAATACCTAATTGAATTCTGATAGTTTAATTGGCTGTTTATGGTCACGTGATACTGAATAGAACATTCCATTTCCCAAGAGTGCAATGGAACACGTTCCATTGCACTCTCTGCGAGTGCAATGGAATAAAACGTATAGTACAATTGCACTCTTTGTGTTTTTGATAAATCGCATCCCTCAAAATGCTTCTCATACGAAAATATTAGTCTATTTTGGTATTATATAAAACAAATAATGAATGTTTTTTCGTGCATTGGTAAGAATATTTTCATTCGGTGAAAGATGGAATGTTCCATTCAACTCGGCTGTCGCCTCGTTGAATGGAACATTCCATCTTTCACCTCATGAAAATATTCTTACCATTGCACTCATAAACATTCATTATTTGTATATTAGTCGAAACTGGTCGATTGAACTGAAAACATTCCCATAATTAAAAATATAATTATTGCATTGTTGTCAAGGTGGAGTTTTGGAATACTACTCTATGAAATTGCAACAGTGGGTATGTATATTTACAGCTAACCATATATAATAATCTTCGGCAATGTCATAGAGTATAGCTTTACATAAAGACACTGCATGTTTACATTATCCTTACCTTTTCTTGTTAAGGTGGTTCTCCATATGTTGGAAAAGATGAGAACTGGTTATTAGATATGCTCAAAGATGATTATAGAATGCCTTGTCCTGATCATGTCAGTGAAGATTTGTAAGTTCAAATATTCATTAACTATCATGGCCACGCGATATATAACCCAGTCTCAAAGCATAACGACTATATATTGTGGTGCAGTGGAATATATACATACAACTAATATAACAAATACACCAACATTTTCCATTGTCCCTATCACTCTATCATTCTTTCTTATAGTCAATCAGTAAACATGTGTGTTTCCGCAGCCAATAAATAGTATTTTCAGCCAATAAATATAACCTTGAACTCAAGCTCGGTCATATTTCGAGAAAACCTATATAAACGGTATTACCTTGTTGAAATACATAAATTGTTAGAACGTACGATCCAATGGTTAGAATGTCTGCCCGGTTATCAGAAGTTTACTCACGTGGTTTGATTCCCGCCATGCCGGGCTCAGATGTTTTTCGATAGGCTCGATAGTCGATACGTAACTGCACCCCAAATTATACATAAAATAGTTAATCTTTTTGTACTATTTACAACACGAGCGGCTGTGTTGGATCGAGCTGAAGACGAGAATTTGTATATCCGATACAACACGAACGCGAATGTTATGAATGGCTTGTAAAACGTCTTGATGAGAACATTCGTATTCTTCAACAATTTAAAATAAATGAATGACATTTGGTGAGAAATAAAATTGAACTTAAACTTTATGTCATTCAGCATAGTCTAGGACCTGTATATGAGTTTGTATGCGATTCATTTAGGACAGGTAATCTCAACTGTTTTAGGGTAAAATGACCATGGCGGTCAACATGGCATATGTGCGAAAACCTGAATCCGGGGCGAAAGTCCTGAAAATGACCCGCCCTGAAATGGCAGTGTTGACATAGCTCTAACTTCAGAAAAGGAAAAGCGATAGCCTTTCTGAAGTGCTTATAGTGTTTAGAAGGGTTGCTTTTAGGGGTGGTCATTGGAAGGAAAAATTTGTCGAAGTATAATATTTTACCAGAAAATGACTATGCACCACCCCAGGTAAATTGCTGATTATGCACAAAATAACTAATATGCCTGGCAGAAATTAAATATTCTTATTTCCTAAAAAAAATTATCATGGGGTGAAAAACTACGCTTAATTTAATCTTTAATCTTTAATAAAATTATTTAAACACGGTAGCCTGTTCAGCAGATAATATTTACAGCGCTGGTTTTCAAAGGGCCGTGTGTTTACAACAATAATATAAAAAGGACAAAAAGAATATAACTATTTACAATGAATTGATACGGATGAATTAAGTAATTGCCGTTTAAACGGCAAAGTTGAAAGATTGTTATAATTTTCAATAGTTTCACTTGGAAGTTCGTTCCAGGACTTAGCAGCTCTATACGAGAAACTTCGTTTGAGAAAATTTGTCTTAGGTTTGGGTAGGTTCAATTTAATTTGATTGCTTCTTAGATTGTAATTGTCATTTTGACTTACTGAAAACAATTTTTCAAGGTATCGAGGTAATCGACCAGTTAGTACTTTAAATGTCATTATTAACTGTCGTTGTTTTAGAAGTTCTTCTATTGGAAGCCAATTAAGACTATCTAGCGTTTGCATGGAACGAACCTCATATGTGTCCCCTGTTATCACACGCGCTGCTCTCTTCTGCATAAATATTGTTGATTTCATAAGGATTGTCATTGTTTTCTTTAAATATAATACATTTTATTTCACTTACCCCCCACGAAAACACGATTTCAGCCATATTTTGCCGTCTTGTTTGCTTTTTGTCGCCGAATCTCGCAAATATCATCCAGTTATTGTACTTTTACATAATCATAAATGGCTGAAGAAGATTTCAAAGAAGGTTTCATCCACTTTTGTAACAGTGCAGTGTATTTTACCTTCGATATTGTGTCCTTCGATATTCCGACAAATTGCCGCCATTTTAATGGCTCGCCGCTTCTCTGTCTGATAAATGCAACTTCTTCGTTTCCATATGTATTTAGATTACAGTATCCAAGAGTACTTCATTGTAGAATAGTCCCAATCCAAAAATTGGCAACATTTGTCCCATTAGGAAGGAAAAATCCTCCCGTATACCATTTAGGTTCAAAATAAAAAACAAATCATTTGAAAGTCACGCGCAATCTTCGCGAAAAGTTCTCGTGGACACATGACAGGGGGGGTTGAATATTTTCACGAATATGTTCGCCACCACAGAAACATAACTAAATATATTGTATTTATTGTATTTTTATGATTTATAATAAAAACAATAAATATTTGCGTAGTTTTGTCATAAATCATAAAAATACAATAAATACAGTATATTTAGTTATGTTTCTGTGGTGGCGAACATATTCGTGAAAATATTCAACCCCCCTGTCATGTGTCCACGAGAAGTTTTCGCGAAGATTGCGCGTGACTTTCAAATGATTTGTTTTTTATTTTGAACCTAAATGGTATACGGGAGGATTTTCCCTTCCTAATGGGAGAAATGTTGCCAATTTTTGGATTGGGACTATTCTACAATGAAGTACTCTTGGGTACTGTAATCTAAATACATATGGAAACGAAGAAGTTGCATTTATCAGACAGAGAAGCGGCGAGCCATTAAAATGGCGGCAATTTGGTGGAATATCGAAGGACACAATATCGAAGGTAAAATACACTGCACTGTTACAAAAGTGGATGAAACCTTCTTTGAAATCTTCTTCAGCCATTTATGATTATGTAAAAGTACAATAATTGGATGATATTTGCGAGATTCGGCGATAAAAAGCAAACAAGACGGCAAAATATGGCTGAAATCGTGTTTTCGTGGGGGTAAGTGAAATAAAATGTATTATATTTAAAGAAAACAATTACAAGCCTTATGAAATCAACAACATTTATATTAAATTAATCATAGTTTTTCACCCCATGATAATTTTTTTAGGAAATAAGAATATTTAAATTCTGCCAGGCATATTAGTTATTTTGTGCATAATCAGCAATTTACCTGGGGTGGTGCATAGTCTTTTCTGGTAAAATATTATACTTAGACAAATTTTTCCTTCCAATAACCACCCCTAAAAGCAACCCTTCTAAACACTATAAGCACTTCAGAAAGGCTATCGCTTTTCCTTTTCTGAAGTTAGAGCTATGTCGACACTGCCGTTTCAGGGCGGGGTCATTTTCAGGACTTTCGCCCCGGATTCAGGTTTTCGCACATATGCCATGTTGACCGCCATGGTCATTTTACCCTAAAACATTTGAGATTACCTGTCCTAAATGAATCGCATACAAACTCATATACAGGTCCTAGACTTGGGCAATTCACAAAATACGTGACGCTCGTGGGGGTAGGGGGTGTTTGATCAGGAGTCACATAGTGTCACAAGAGGGAGGAGGGGTATCACAAGCGGTATCACGTGACGGAGAGGCGTATATAGAGAAAAGTTTAATATCCCTGTCTATAACAAAACAAGATCGTGCTTGCAAATATGTGTTTCAATGTTTTCTATCAAAATACTCCTTCTGACATCGCCATGGAATACGGCACTCCCGTACGTTTATTCAACAAACCAGCGAGAAACTGACTGGGAAACTGTTTAGGCTGAGGTTTAATAAGGCATTGAAATAGTGTCGATTTATAGATAACGTTTTGAATCTGTTGTTGTGAGTCACGTATTTTATGATGGGTGTGTACTGCTAGCTGTCACACACTGTTACAAGGGGGTAGGGAGGGGTAAAAAACTGGCAAAAACAGCGTCACGTATTTTGCGAATGGTCCCTACCAGATATACAAACTCCTTCATGATCATGATTTCTTTTGTGTTTTCTTCATGAATTATTAATGAATTTTCACAATTTTATTTGTTTTACAGATATTCAGTAATGTCAGATTGCTGGAAGAACGATCCTGGCGAACGTCCAAATTTTGAAAAATTAGTAAAAGTGATGAAAACATTAGCTTTAATGAACAAACATCAGGTGCGTTAACTCTACAAGCAAAATGTATATTATATCTATTGTTATCATATCGAGTAATCATATCGATATATTTGTATAGGATCATATAAATATAACAAAGTATGATGGTGAGCTGTTCTCAAAACTGGATGATGTCCGATGTTAAGTGCCAATTCAACTGCGAATCAGTGAAGGACAGCTCGAGAGTGGATTCTGTCATTGGCGACCACGCGTTAATCAGGATTTTTTAACTAAAAATTCCATTTTGACTCATAAGGCAACAACCATTACCATGGTTTATATTATCAACGATTGAACAAGTAAACATCGTAGCTATACTTCATTTTTTAATCAGACTTTGAAGCTGTTCTTCAACCAAAGCTATACAATCTTTGGCAAAAACTATGGGACATATGTGTAATTTCAAACAATTTGAAAGGCGTAGCGCCCTCCCCCCCCTCCCCCCCCCTCCCCCAGTTTGTTGGGCCGACAAAAATCTGATGTCTGGTTGCAAGACGACAACATTGAAACGGGTGGGGGGAGGGAGGGTGGAAAGAATGTATGTAACAAGAAATGGTATAAACCGTATAATACATCTGAATGCATGTGAAAACTATAGATTGTCCCAAGGTATATTGTCAAAGAATGTAGACCTGTGAAAGCGGTTTATATATCACGTACACATAGAAGAAGCTGTGATAATATAAACCTTTGAGCCTTTATGTCTGATTTTTTTATTTTATATAATTCTGTCTTGTTCATATTTTTTGAATTGTTTATTGACAGTTTATGTTTTGTTCACTAACCTATTCTTATAACGTATTAACGTGAGTAAAAGCTAGATGTTTAAATTGTTTAGGAAAACTATTGTAGTCATTGAGGTACATATACTGATTCACCATGCACGGTTTTTAATTACACTAACATAGTAACATGTTTGCTTTGCTAACAATTGTAACGTAGTGGAGTCCATACACTCGCACATACGATATATAAACATTAATACTATGTATTTAATTCAAGTAAAATTGTGCATAAACTTGCACAATGGCCGACTGCAGGTCATGGTATAACTGAAACGATAAAGCAAAAGTATGACTGACAAAAGTTATAAACTTTACACTTTGATCGTTTAGGTAAAATTATACTTTTTGTTCAAAAATGGTTTCTTGCAAACTCATCAGTGTAGCTGTAGCCTGTATAGACTAGTGATAAATAAAGAGATAAATAAAATTATTTTCAGAAATTAAAATTAAATTTGTACTTCATCGCATTTGCTTATATAGGCAGCCCAGCAACTATGTGTATCACTTAAAAATGCATTAAACGTCTGACTTTGCTATCACGCGATTTATTATGTAGCTCATTATATATTATGGAGATTAATATATAATGTATTTAATTTCTTTATTAACTTTACAATCGTGTGATTGATGGTCAAAACAATTCAACAACAGAACATAAGTTCCTAATGGATGATTCCAGCTATAGACTAAATTTTGATCCAGACAAGAAGGGGGAAATCTACTACTATAGCTTAAAAGAACATCCTTAAATTAGTAAAATAGCCAAATTTGGTTGCAAAATGTTGTAAAATACGGAAAACATAAGCATAGTGAAATTCGAAAATATTGAATATTTTAGTATTAAACGCGGAAAAATGCACCACTTTTGAGCCGAAAGTGGTGCATTCTTCAACGCGTAATACTAAAATACTCAATAATTGCTAATTTCACAGGGCTATAATTTTCGTATTTTACAACATTTCGAAACCAAAATTTGCCATTTTACTAATTTTAGGAATTAGGATGCTCTTTTGAGCTATAATGATAGATTTCATCTTTCTTGTCTAGATAAAAAATTAGACCAAAGAATTACATTATTACAAAAATATTTACATATACATATTACAACAACACTTAAAGTGCCTCTAACACAATTTTTTTTATCGTCTATATCAAATCTGGGCATACTTTCTAGTGGTTTAGTGAAAACCAAACTGAATTTGATAAAAACGGTGACTTTTTATGGCGGTTTGAAACAGCCCAAATGGCGATATTTGCTGGCATACTTCCGTGGTGGCAAGGGGGCTGGCGCGAGCATGTTTTGTGACGTCACGCAAGGTAGTCGCGCACATGCTTGTCGCATTCACAATACATTTTAACTAGATTTACATACACGGCGTTTGCTATTAAAAGCTTGCTTTTGAGAATGGTTTTTAGTTGTGTTGGTGCAAATTGTACGAACAAGGCGAGTCTGAAAGATGGTATTAGCCTTTATACAATACCTTATTTCAACGATGAGCGGCCTGAAGCTAAAAAGCGAAGAAAAATTTGGGTTGACTTTGTGAAAGCCAAACGCGTATTCGAGCCTTCGAAAAGTTCAACACTGTGCTCGGCTCATTTCAAGCCTGAGGACTTCGAAAGACGGTTTCATATGTTGCCTGGGCAAACGAAACCAAATTATCAGAAGTTGAGAATCGACGAAATCGGGATTTGTGTCTTTCCTACAATACAGGCAGCACCGAAAGTTTCGGCGAAACAGGAACAGTCGGACGTATTGAGTGCTAGGAGTAAAAGGATGGTAAGTCCATATTTTGTTGATGCCATATATTTACGCACGTTTCCCTTTGTATAATGAACATTCATTTATGTTTAGACTTTTCGTTCGAGGAGTATTAGTGGTGTTCCGCCAAACAAATCTGCTTGGCGAGATTGGTTTAAATATCTTTGTGTATGAATGTGATATAAATTTCTTGGCGGAAATCCGCGCCAAATTGCGCCAAACACAATGCGCTAAAATATATCGCATTTGCCAAATACTCTACGTCTACGACGAACATGCACGAATTAGAATCACATTAGGCAGCTTTGCTACCGATTTGTTAGCGACGAAAATATTAGAGGATACGCATTATAAATATCAATACATGCGGAAAAGATTCAAATTTACATATTCCTCACATCCTATCAACAGTGTTAGCGTTGGGGTATTCTAAATGACATATATTGCTTTCCTAACGGAATATAAAGTAATATACAGTATGCAATGTAATCTACATCTCGAAAAGTGTATCACTTGAACACAAAACTTTCAATATCTGATAAAATGTTTGATATTACTAATTACAGGTGATGAGAAATGTTCACGAAGCCCCAGACCAGAGTCTACAAGCAAATGCCAAACCAACACCACCAGCAAAGCGAAAACTGTTGCCTACACCTCCAAACGAAGGACGAAAAAAACAGAGGCAAGAACTTCCAGAGCCTGAAACACCCGAAGGAAGTCAAACAAGCGATATTGACAATGTAGGGTCTAAGATTGATATTGCATTCACTGAGTCATTCATTTTCATGAAGGAATACTCTTTTACAATATTTCTTTGCAAAATATTTCTTTAGGTAATAGCAATGGCAGACAGCGATACATCATTAATAGGAATGAGCACCCCGAGGAATGACCTAGAGAAGTTGGCCGAAAAGAACCGTAGACTTAAAAATCAAGTGATAAGCCTGCAAGCCAGTGTGAAGGAAAAAAACAATAAATTGAGGCAAATGAAACGAAAAGGTAAAAAATAACATTTGTATTCTACGTAACTTGTAACTCTGTATAGACCAGTGCTTTTGGCTACAGGATTAGTGAAATTCAGATTTCTTTCTCTGTTGTGTAGTCATCAACGAGGTCACCAAGCTGAGACAACATGTTCATCACCAACCAAATGACCAGGAATCAATGGAAGATGTAAGTGAGGAATCTGAGAATGAGACAGTTGAAGAAAATGATCATGAGGACACGACTGACCCACATTATGAGATGGAAGATGATGGTGGACATGGAGACTCCGAGCTTGATGAATCAGATGACGAATCAGAGTAAGATAATCATTCAGTGCTTTTTAGTAATTATGTAATGCCAATATCAAATTTAATAGTATGCTTAGTATTGCCCAGCCAGTCCTAAATGCCATGCTACAGATGACATTTATTTTTATTAATGTTAACCCATTGAGCCACAATGCACCCCAATAGGGAATATCTGCAGCTTAATGGGTTAACCAAAAAATCAAACAATGTCTCTAGTTAGCCCATTAAGCCGCAATGCGCACCAGTGCAGCCTACTTATTTATTTTTTTGCTTGTCTGAGTCGCCAGACGATTTTACTCGTCAATGGGGAAACTCTGCAGCTTAATAATTCACATACATAGTGGTATACATTCTGATAAAATATTTTTGGTCATTGTGATAGGCTATTGACAATGGAGAAAGACAACCTACGAACCGAGCCAAAACACATTGTGTTTTTATCACAGCTCCTATTATTGTTCAGTTTTTGCCATTCCTGCAAAACTGACAATCTTCTCATTGAAACAAGAGAAGTCGGTACCAAGGCTGTCGTCACAACCATTTGCAGCAATCCAAAGTGCCCCAAAAAGATAACGACTTGGCATAGCCAACCCATGATGCCTGGAACAAAAATCTCAGCTGGGAATTTTCTTTTGTGTATGGCTGTTCTACTTGCTGGTAGTTCCATATCAAAAGCACGACAAGTATTTTTGCACATGGGCCTTGGATGTGTTTCTTTGAACA